CGCAGTCCACAGTCTGCAGTCCGCAGTCTGCAGTCCGCAGTCTGCAGTCCGCAGTCTGCAGTCCGCAGTCTGCAGTCCGCAGTCTGCAGTCCGCAGTCCATATTTTATACTGACCGGAGACCGTGTAAATCGACACAAACGATCCTTGTTCCGTCGGTATGCGAGACAACGTGCTTTTATTACCAAAACTACGACAATTATTCTGTTTATGAACACGACTTGAATCGCCTTTGCTTTGGGGAAACAGCTATTGATCGTTTTCACTTCCGAAACAATGAAACGGAGGACATGTTGGTGTACCAAAGCAATCCTGTGCGAGTTGAACTCTTTTCCCACGTAAACACTTTCGTTGGGGTTATGTTACATATTTTGCGCACAGAAATCTAGGCCCGCGAAGTGAAAAGTACACATTTCAAAAGCAGCGCTGGTTTTGGTCGAAGAGAAGAAGGTAAACAACACGTAACCCAAACAACAGCTTTCTGTTCGTACGAAAAGTCGAACCCTTTCGTGAAGACATGTCTGCAAGGTTTTTAAATGCCATTAACACTGACTTCAAACTACAAATAAACAACTTATCCGCTACAGTCGACAGTAAGCTGTCTCAACATTGAAAAGACCGCAATATTGCATAACAGTCGAAAGCAAAACACATGGACGAAAATGGAGATGACGTCATTCGCCCCTGAAGAATTTTTTTGGGGGGCCAAATTGGTGTCCGCAGAAAGATACATACAGGAAAACTCGATTTTCCTCCATTACCCGATTAGAACTGCGCTCTGTCCAACGCAATCAGTAGGCTTGGTTCTTAACTCACCTAACCTGGTTCCTAACAAGGTTCGTTACTCGACTCCTACATCCTACTTCCTAACTTGCCCCTACAAAGCAGAGCTTATTGCATCCAATGTTCTAAGAAACGTGTTGCAAATAATTAACCGCCCTGGTTCACTTAGCTTCACGTTTGGCTGTCATTAGTGGCGATGGTAACACGAATACATGATTTCTGTTCAAAACGCGCAACCCGAGCACGTGTGCGTATCGTCGTACGGACTGATAAAACTATTTTAACATACTGGTCGAGAGCACGAGAAGGTATTCCAAAGGACTCTTTTGATCTTAACGTTTTATCAGCATAAGCAAATTTTTCAAGTTTAAATATACGAGATTTGTGGGATCACATTTAGTATCCGGGCAACCGAGCTCAATCCATGTTCACCATACTCGAAGAGCAATTCGAATACCATAAATACTAGCAAAATTATAAGTTGTGTTCTTGAAGGAAATAAAATGACATGAATTGAATTAGTTTTAACATAATTAATATTCCACCAAACGTGTCAAATAATTAGTTTACTTTGCATCAGCAGATAACAGGTGATCAAACAGGTTTAACACGTGAAGAGTCCACTTTCTTTATCCTCAAGCATGTTACGGCATGGCTTATATGCCGTGCAGACACCCGCAAAGATAAAACTGTTTTTGATCTAAAGCAACGTCAACGTCTCCCAGAGGGAGCCAAAAACGTACCACAAACAAAATTCGACATCCTTAAACTTATGGTGGTCACGTGATTCGTGACGTCACAGGCTTGCTAAAGATGATTTCTAAAATGGGCCAAGGATAGTGAGCTATCACGGAAAACTAACCACAAGAAATGTTTAACCACTTTTAAGGGCAACTGTTTCTGTCCTGAATGGATGAACTCCTTAATTATTTAAGGCTATATATGGAAATACAGAAGGTCGCGTGACCTCTTTTACGTAATAACTTCTAACCTGTGTATTGGGAATCTTTTTGCGGTGGAAGGCCAGACTGCTAACATCTTGAATTCCCGGGGATGGGGGACTCCCCTATTAAATGGACGGGGGTGCTCGTCGTACCTTTAAGGGGTTAAAAACGCGGTTTTGGTGCCTCTTAGGGTATAGCCTGAAAACATCCAAAGCGGGAGCTTTCGTAGTATCTTTTAGTGTATTGAGCCGAAATAAATATTACAGGAGATAGTGTGTTGTTTTAGAATCGGTACCTCTTAGAGGTGAAAACATTTCAAGCCACGCCCACAAAACAGGATCTTGGTACCTCTTGGGGTTTCTTTTCAAAATTTCCGACGAGCAACCCTGTTCTTCTCATATGTGAGTTCCCCCCCTCTCTGGGTTTGAATTCGCGAACGTGACTTTGAGCACGATACTCAACTAGTTTGCTGTTAAATTCTAACGAATGCCAAATGCCCGAGACGCAACTCCGAGTCAGACTTGCCACAAACTATTTTTTCACGAGTATCTGACAGTTCTGTAAGTGTATCTAAGCTTTTTGAAGTTTTAAAAAAGCCTTCACGGTTGTAATATTCCCTTACTAGAGGGGATGATATCTAGTAATTTATCACGAGTTTACTATCACAGCAGGATCAACTTTACCAAGTTGACAGTAGTTCACAAAATGTCTCTTTTCTAAACTGAAGATCCGCGCCAATCTGCGCCAATCAGTATTAATGAAATTTAATGTGACTGATACCCAGTGTACGTTCAACTAAGGACTTCGCCTTAGGATAAGAGAAGAAGAAGTCTGATGACGTAACTAGAAAATCAGATCTTGACCGCACATTTTCACTTTAAGAAATATGTTCAGCTTCAACACCGTGAAATGACGAACACGGATGAATTAAAGACGAAATATTACAGAAGCTTGCATGCGATAAAGGAGATATATGGAATTTGTTACAGTCCTTTGTATTTTTGTTAGTCGCTGTTACACTGAGAGTCCACTGATTTGGACTACAGAAAGAGTCTTTCTGTCAAGTAAAAATATGAAAAAGAATTGAAACACGAGTAGGATTAACAGCCTGGATTAACATCGAAGGCTTTGGGGATAAATGAAGAAGACAGTATACCAGACTGTTAGGTTTTTGTAGTTGAGCAACGACATGCAGATGTAAGAATGCTCTGAAGTGATGTGTGTCATTCATATTACAAAAGACTGACGGCTGCTCGAGTCACGCGAAAGCTAAACATTAATAATGAGACCTTAATTGTTTAAGTCAGAGAAATCTTCACCACTTCTACTCAGCACTTAAAGAGGGCGCTTTGACATCGAGCTGTGACTATTCCTGAAAAGTGCCAAGAGAAAGGTAAAGACATCAATAGTGTTTAGTTCAATGTATCATTCTAGCGAATTAATTTACATCAGAGCTTATTACTTCCTATGCAATTAAACCTCGAATCACGGCCTCGACTTGAACTTTCAGCTGGGATAAGCCTGAGTTTTCCCTTTTTGCAAAAGGCTGTAATAACAGCGTCATTTTTGAGACATTTCTTGCTAGTTTGTGATACCTAAAAAAGATGTTACAATTAATAGGAAATGTGTTCTAAACTTGATGATACAACATTAAGAAAATATGTTTTGCATTCAAGACTATTGATATTTTGTGCGTTAACAAATAGACCAAGGTTCCTCTGCAAAATCCACCGCGGGCATTTTACTTCTAAGCCTCATCTATATTATCACTAACATGCAAAGACACCGTTTTGCAAAGAAAGTAGACTTGAGCGAATTTTAAAATGGTCTGATATATTTAGCAAATATATGAATAAAAAGTTCAGCAAAGTAATGTCTTTCGTTGATTAAAAGATAGTTTGAATTTTGCGCAGATTAGATAAAAATGAAGCAAAATAGGACATAATGTTATTAATCTGAGAAACAGTCTATATTGTTGATCGCATATATAGTAAGGGATGCTTAGTAGGTGCAATGAAGCAGGTGTGTTGATGATATAACGTGGGATTGAAAAGGTGAAACAAAGATAATGTATGGATTTACACTGTATCGGAAATATACAAATCGTGGTATCTTGGCTCATAGCGCATTCAGAAAGGTGTGTTTATGTGGAATAATCTTTCATTTGTCCAAATACTAGCTAACGTAGAGTGAAGAAAAAATGAAAAAATAAAAAAATAAAATAAAATAAAGACTACTTGAATCTCACGCAAATAGCCATAATTCGTTTTTTAAAATAGATATTTAGTAGCTTTTGAAAATGCGATGAATGCAAGGAAATAGAATTAAATTTGGCTTGTTAATGCATTGAGGTAGCTGTGTCGATGTGGAATAGAAATTTAGCTACTGTATGGTAACAAAATGAAGTAAAATAAGATATTTATTGATAGTGAAAATGCTTTGAATTTGTTACTGATTATAAAAATGTTAGATTTGGTGCAAATTGGACAAAAACGACGTGAAGTAAAATAGGTTGTTAATTACAAAAAATTAGTTTTAAATAGACTAAAGTTAAAGAATGGCTTCAGTTTAAATTAGCGCATTGAAGCAGCTGTGATGATGTTAAATAATTTATTATTTTGTAGCGTTTTTGAAATTTAAACTTGAAATAATTGCTGACATTGTTATGATAGTTAAAAAGTTGACAGAATGTTGAATAAACACCAGACCATGTCTTAGGAATTAAAATATTACGTGACTGATTACACGATTTACTGATTATTTTACCCAGCTTGTGAAAA